TTTTTCTTTTAATAGTGAAAATGATTAGGAAAGTTAATAATGAAAATAATGAATAAAGTGAATAATAAAGATAATTAATAAATAACATAATGTAGATAATCAATAAAGAGAATAATGAAAATAATTATTAAAGAGAATAATGAAAATAAATAATAAAGTGAATAACGAAAAAACAAAAATAATACAGTGAATAATGAAAATAACTGATTAAGTGAACAACGAAAATAAATAATAAAGCGAATAATGAAGATAATTAATAAAGTGAAAAATAAAAATAGATAATAAATTGAATGTTGAAAATAATCGATAAAACGAATAATGAAAACTAATGAATAAAGTGCATAATGAAAATCTTAAATAAAGTAAATAATGAAAAATAATTAAAAAAGACAGAGAATCGAATTTCAACACGTATGACCGATTTTCATCAGCAATTAAATATAGACGCATTAATCATCACGCTTTTGAGGGAATATCGTGAGCTCTCTGATTAATCAGAACATTATCAATTAAAATTATTAACAATTATGCTCTAAATCACAGCAAGGTTACGAAAATATGTATTTGGAAAATTTATTATTCAGGTCTATCCATCAAATTGATATGTGTTGATATCATGTGATTCGCCAATTAAAAGATAAATTGCCGAATGCCAAAAAAATATTATAATGGTAGACAAATACGCCGGGCAATTTTTGCAAGTTATTAGTCGAATCATTTTAGGAAATCAATTGTTTCACAAACCCTTTCGTTAGATTGTTGCTAATAAGGATGTAAAATAAACATATATCCGGGGGAGTGGGGGACGTATTCGAAAAGCCAAAAAATAAAAATAAAATAGACAAAAATGAATAAAAGATACTGTATCCATGATAAGACATTAGGAATGGTATCATATGCTACGACTTATGTTACGTTAACTGATACTTAATAAGAAGTAAATCACTCGGAAGATTATACATATATACTTCATCGGATATATTCTGAAGAAGAAACAGAAACGGGATGTGTGTGTGTGTGTGTGTGTGTGTGTGTGTGTGTGTGTGTGTGTGTGTGTGTGTGTGTGTGTGTGTGTGGAGGCATAGGTAAATTTATAAATAGACAGATAATTAGATATATTTATACATACACACAAACACAGACACACATACATACATACATACATATATATATATATATATATATATATATATATATATATATATATATATATATATATATATATATATATATGTATATATAATGCCTTTATATATATAATATATATATATATAATATATATATATATATATAATATATAATATTGTGTATTTGGAATTGCATATTCTGTTAAGTTGGTGTCTAAAAAGTGACTGGTGTTTGGGTAATGCCCAGAGTGATATGTCTTAACCAGAGGTATTTTTTTCTTTTATTTTGGTGCAGCTATGACGTCTTTTTTATAGTTTCTACCGAGAAAATTGAGCTGCCCAATTATTTGAATCGTGTCAAGTGAAGGTCAAAAGGTGTTTCTTATTCATTTTGTATCATAATACT